TGTTTTAACAGATGTGCTCCGACTGCGTCAGCACTCAGCTTGAAAATATGAACTCCGTCAGCTTTCTGTAGCATCGATGCATTTCCTCGTCGGGCATAAAACCCCAGAGAAGGGTACACAACAACTAAAATATACAGAAGGGGGGCCTGGGGGTTCCAGCAAATCAATTGGCTCGTTTTTGTCCCACAGATGTCCGGCACCCGATCGGTCATCAGGACCAGCTCTCCTGTCAGCGGCCCCCCATTAAAGAGGAGGCAGAGGATCCACGGCTGTGCTACGAGGAAGAAGAGGATCAACGGCCCCCTTACATTAAAGTGGAAGTGGTCGAGGCTGACATCAGCAAGTTCCCCCAGACCGGCGTGTCTGTCAAGAGCGAGAACTGTGACGACAATCCGCCCGAGCGGTCGCGGTGTCGTCGGAGCAGCGCGACGCAGCGCGCGACCGCGGGGCCCGACGTAGACCCCCTTGCGGGAACCCCTCCGGACAGCCTCCTGGCTCCGCTGTCGGACAGCGACGACGTAGAAGGGACGACGAGTGACTCTGACCCGGAATGCTCAAAAGGGGACCCGACTTTTAACAGCAAGCAGCGCTCTGCGGCGGACCGTAAACGCCGCAAAGCGAAGCGTTTTCGCTGCTCCGTTTGCGGTCAGCGATTTCTTCAAGAAAAGCATTTGACGAGACACGCGAGAACGCACACGGGAGAAATTCTTCGTTGCTCGGCTTGTTTTAAAGGGTTCCTTCATAAGCACGCCTTAATTAAACACACGAAGACGCACACGGGGGAGCGAGCCGCCGCTTGTTCGGCTTGGGCGAAAGGCTTCGTTCAAAAGTCGAATACGGGGAGAGCTGGGCTTGCCGGCGACGCCGGGCACGAGCAAATATTTCCGGGCGATCCTCGCGTCGGCTCCCCCGCCGCGCTCGAGTCGGATGCCGAGCGCTCAGCCGCGGCGCCCCCCGCGCGGTGCGAACGCTCGCCGAGCGCATCGGACCATCCGGGGGTCTTCGCCCTCGACGCGTTCCCGAGGCAACCGAAGCGGCCCGTTCGTTTGACCGTGGAACAAAAGAAGGAGATCATCGCCGAGCACGAAGCCGGGTTGCGCGTCGCCGATCTCGCCGCGCAGTTTGGCTTGCCCAAATCGACCGTTTGTACGATTCTTAAAAACAAGGCGTCCATCAAGGCGGCCGATGTGGCCAAAGGAGTGACGCTTCTGACCAAGCAGCGGCCTCAAATTCTCGAGGACGTGGAGAAATTGTTGCTGCTGTGGGTCAACGAGCAGGAGCTCGCCGGCGGCGGCGTGAGCGCCAGCGCCGTCATTAAAAAGGCCAAGAGGCTGTACGGCGACTTGGTCGCCGACAGCGGCCAGTGTGACAATTTCAAAGCCAGTCGAGGCTGGTTTGACAACTTCATCAAGCGAAGCGGAATTCGCAGCGTCCGGCACGACGAGGATGTGGACAGTTTGAACAGAAAAGCCGCCGAGGCGTTTGCGGGTCAATTCGAAAGCCTGGTGCAAAGCGAAGGCTACCTGCCCAATCAAGTTTTCAACTGCGGCGAAGCGGGGCTCTTTTGGAGAAAAATGCCCAAAAGAACGTCGCTCACCAAAGAGGAGAAGGCTCGGCCCGGACACAAGCCCATGAAGGACAAGTTCACCCTTTTATTGTGCGCCAACGCCAGCGGCGATTGTCAGCTGAAGCCGCTTTTGGTGTACCACTCGGAAAATCCTCGCGCCTTTAAGAGCAACCACGTGCTGAAGGCGGAGCTGCCCGTCATGTGGAGAGCCAACGCCAAGATCCGGGTCACGCGGGCGCTTTTCACCGAGTGGGCGAGCGAGGTTTTCGCGCCGGCCATCAAGACCTACCTGGAGGAGAACGCGTTGCCCCTCCGATGTCTCCTGGTGGTGGACAAGGCGGCCGCTCATCCACCGAGCTTGGAGGACGACCTGGACGCCGAATACAACTTCATCCGGGTCCAGTTCCTGCCATCCAACGCCGCGCGCTTGCTGCAGCCCGTGGGCCAGCAGCTCGTGACTCACTTCAAGAAATTGTACACCAGGGCGCTTTTCTCCAGATGCTTTCAAGTCACAAAGGCCACCGATCTGACGCTGAGCCAGTTTTGGAGGGACCACTTCAACATCTTTCACTGCATCCACCTGATCGACCAGGCCTGGAGGGAAGTCTCGCACCTCACCCTGCAATCCGCTTGGAAGAGACTTTGGCCCACTTGCCCGCCGGAGACGGACTCGGAGGGCCCCCGTGTCGCGGCGGCGGCGGTGGACGACATCGTGTCCATCGGCACGAGTCTGGGCTTGGAGCTTGACGGGCAAGATGTGGAGGAGCTGGTGGAGGAGCAGCTGGAGGACCGCCGCAAAGAACTGAGCACAAAGGAGCTTCTGGAGCTGCAGAGCGAACAGATGAAAAGCTGCTAGGCGGGAGGAGTCGTCACACCTGGAGGAAACGGCAAACAAACCAACGGGCGGAGCTTGGAGAGAAGTGCAAGCCATTATGTAAAAAAACAAAAAAAAAATGTCAAAACTACAAGAACAGTTTCCATTGGAAATGGTGTGATGTCCCACGCGGTGGAAAGAAAAAAGTTTCTACAAATCGTGCCCAACAAATGTCGTGATCATGACCCACGGTTGTTTTGGAAGAAGCCTTTTTAAAAAGCAGCACTCGCTAAAACAGAATCATTGTCATGTTTTCTCATGCAAAAAAACAAACAACAACAACAATGTTTACATTTTTGTCTGATCTGTTCTTAGAATTGCTTGTGTTTGTTTTGTGTGGGGGGGGGCGGCAAAATGCCTCCTTGCGCTTAATGTTAGCTTCTCGTTTAGCAATTTTTGCGCCATCGTTTAATGTGCATTTGGATGCAAGAGCGCCCTTTGCACTGGGAAAAAAATGAAAGTATTTGCTTCGTTTGTTGTTTCAAAGCCTTGATTGTTGGGATGATGCTTGTCGATTTTTTTTTAGGCGTGCACTGAAAATGAAATGCTCTGATCATAAATGAAATAGATCAATGAGTATTTTGCACATATGCATGAATTTTGTCCATGCGGTGGGTTTTTTTTGCCAACCCATCTGGTGAGGAAGCGCATATTGCAGTGTGGCCCACTCAGTAGCGCTGATGAAAAAATGGTGGCCCCCCTCCAGCATTTTTTTTTCAATACCTATTCCAGTCCAGACGATGGCGGCAATGTGCATTTAAGATGGTTTGCAGACGGTAGAAAAAGGCGGAAGAAGATAAAAGGCAGCGGACGGCATCGCGGTCCGATCCGAGACGGCAGCGGGTGGCACAAGTGCGAGGCGCAAACCTTTTTTTTTTTCCCTCCTCCCGCGGCGTCTCTTTTGGGGGACCGTCTTACGGCATCAAAATGTTGAGAGAGTTGGTCATGGAGCGACTGATTGCGGCGGCAGACGAAATCTTCGGACTGTTCGAAAGCACGATCGCGTCGTACGAGGAGCAACTTTGTCGAGCTCGAGAGGAGAGCGAGCGACATCGGCGACGACTCGAAGCTGTTCGCGACGCTCAAATGGGGAGACGCGTCGAAGGTCTGCTCCCGAAACGTCGACGTGATGTTTACGACGTGTTATTTATGGAAGGAAGGGATTCATGCATGTCATTGGTGTCCGTGAAACAAAAACAGTTAGGGGCAGGGAGCAGCCTCTCGGAAATCGTCGGAAACCCAGGGGGGATGTCGAAATCCGGTCCTCGGGGGCCGCTGTCTGTCTGTCACGCCCTGTCCTCTCCGTCTGCCTCCTCCAAGCCAATAGTCCGGGTGGCCCTCGGGGTTCGCTGATGAGCTTCTCATTCGAATCAGCTGTGTTGTTGTTGGAGGAGAGGGGGGGCGTCGAAAACGGGCAGCGCCGCGGCCCTCGAGGACCGGAGCTGGACATACCTCGTGTAACTCCAGTTAAAACTCATTCAATCCCAGGCATTGACTGGATTTTGACTGATCTCGCAAGGCCCGCAGAATATTTGGTTCGAATGCGATATAAACATGGAGCCTACCAAAATAAAGTTGAGACTCTCTTCCTTCAGCAGAAAAAAAAACTGTTTCTATCTTTTTCCATTCTTCGGCAATCGGCATGACAAAATGGCTAATTTTCATGGAAGTGGCGATTCCAGGGCAAAAAAAAAAAAAAAAAACCGAGAAAAAGAGCTTTTTGTAAAAGCATGCATTTCAATCACGTGAGGCACCACTGCCACCTACTGGTCGCTTTTTTTTTAACATGATTTACAATGCAAACGGCTTCTTCTCATTCACAGATTGCATCGCATAAAAAAAAGACTTAAGACGTTCAAGGACGTCCTTGTTAAGGGCGCGCGAGCACTGGTTCGCGTGATCGCTGCGATCAGTTTATTTCTCTATCAAACGGCGACAAGGTCCAGTCGTTTTATTTATTTATTTAATTTAAATTAGGAAAACATTTTTTGGCCCCATGGCAATAGTTGTAGGAACAAAATCAACTTGTGATGCGTGTCCCACAGGTGCCGAGCAGTCCATCGCTCCTCAGGTTGGATGTTGCTCTCAGCCGCAGGGGCGGAGCTACAGTTTGGAGCAAGCGCTTCCGCAGCCCCCCCACGCGAAGGAGCGAGAGGAGGATGCGCAGCCCTCCCACACAAAAGACGCAGATGCCAAGCAAGCCCACGTGAAGCAGGAAAAAGAGGAGACTGACATCAGCAAGTTTGCACCCGCCGGTGTCTCGTTGGCGAGGCAAACGTTCAAAGACGAACTGCCCGAGTGCTCGCCGCTTCAACGTGAGGGTCCGAGCGGAGAACACTTTGGAGGACCCCCACCGGACAACCTCTCGGCTCCGCCGTCAGACAGTCCTGACTTGGAAGAACCTCGGAGAAGCGACTCAGACTATGAAGGTGATGACAAACGGCGGAAATGTTCTGAGGCGGACGCGACGCTGAAGAACAAAGCCTCCCCGAAACGGATGAGATGTCACACGCGTGAAAAATGTTTCAGCTGTTCAATTTGTGGCCAAAGGTTTGCTCAAAAGAGACTTCTGATCGAGCACGAGAGTACCCACAAGGAAGAAAAACCTTTCCGTTGCTCGTTGTGCGACGACAAATTCTCCTTTAAGTCGCATTTGGTCATACACATGCGAAAACACACGGGAGAAAAACCCTTTGGTTGCTCTTTCTGCGACAAAATGTTCTCGCACAAGGCCAATTTGGTCACGCACATGCGAATACACACCGGGGAAAAGCCCTTCGGTTGCGCGGTTTGCGGTGAAAAATTCATTCAAAGGTCCCACATGGTGGCGCACGGGAGAAAACACACGGGAGAAAAGTCCTTCGGTTGCTCGTTTTGCGGCAAGGCCTTCTCGCGCAAGTCGCAAATGGTGATCCACGTGCGAATCCACACTGGAGAAAAACCCTTTGCCTGCTCCTTTTGCGGCAAGGCCTTCTCGCGCAAGTCCCATTTGGTCCGACACGTGAGAACCCACACCGGAGAAAAGCCCTTCAGCTGCTCCTTCTGCGGCAAAGCCTTCAAACAAAACGCTCATCTGCTCGCACACGAGCACATACACATGAGACCTTTCGTTTGCACGGCGGTCGCCTGCGGCAAAAGATTCGCATTGGAGAGCGCTCTGGTCAGACACTTGGCGACGCACAGGTATTGAAAGCTTTCCCACCTCGTACGTCTGGGCCGCTGCGGCGGCGCATGACAAACTGGGAAACGGACGACTCGGGTCTTCTTCACTCTGTGACCGAAGCCCGACTCATCGGCGCACTCGGGACAGACGCGCAAAAGCAGTGAAGGGGGGGTTGAGGGGACACGTTGTTATTCTTTCTCAAAATGTTTTGCTTTGTAAATTGGAAATAATGACTCTGTGTTGTGAATTTTTTTCCTCACGCTATCAAGTTTTCCCAAAAGTGCAAAGAAAGCTGTCTGAAGATTTTTTTTTTTGTCAAAGAACTAAGTAAAAATGCCATCGTTTGATTGTACTCTATGTTCGCCTGTTGTCCCCAATAAAAGGAGCACCTACGTTGACTGTAACTTGAGTGTCTAGTCGATAGTCTGTAAGCGCTTTTCGGCCTTTCCGCACGGACAGAGTCGTAAGCAGAAAACGTTTTTTTTTTTTTTGTGCTCCTTCTGCGGCAAAGCCTTCAAACAAAACGCTCATCTGCTCGCACACGAGCACATACACATGAGACCTTTCGTTTGCACGGCGGTCGCCTGCGGCAAAAGATTCGCATTGGAGAGCGCTCTGGTCAGACACTTGGCGACGCACAGGTATTGAAAGCTTTCCCACCCTGGGCCGCTGCTGCGGCGCATGACAAACTGGGAAACGGACGACTCGGGTCTTCTTTACTCTGTGACCGAAGCCCGACTCAGCGGCGCACTCGGGACAGACCCGCAAAAGCAGTGAAGGAGGGGTTGAGGGGACACGTTGTTATTCTTTCTCAAAATGTTTTGCTTTGTAAATTGGAAATAATGACTCTGTGTTGTGATCTCGAGAACGACTCTGATGGAAGATTGGCCGCGCCGATCCCCTCCTCGCTTCGTCCGTACCGGTCGAGGCCCCGTTTTTTTTTTCTTCACGCTATCAAGTTTTCCCAAAAGTGCAAAGAAAGCTGTCTGAAGATTTTTTTTTTGTCAAAGAACTAAGTAAAAATGCCATCGTTTGATTGTACTCTATGTTCGCCTGTTGTCCCCAATAAAAGGAGCACCTACGTTGACTGTAACTTGAGTGTCTAGTCGATAGTCTGTAAGCGCTTTTCGGCCTTTCCGCACGGACAGAGTCGTAAGCAGAAAACGTTTTTTTTTTTTTTGTTTTTGTTCCAGCCTTTCTGCATAGCTTCTCTTTGCGTGTGTTCATTTCTTTTGCTAGTTGGTTTCGGGTGCGTTTGGACTTTCCAGGCTTCTTACCTGCTTCGGTTGAGGTGCGACCGCGCAGCTCTCCGGACTCAGCTAGCATCCGAAACCTCCTTATGCAGACATCCTCGTCTCGGTCTGTTTATTTTTTTTTTCGGCACAAAAGCATCCCTTGGTGCCTTGCAGGGCACTCAGTCAATCTTATAATTCGTTCTATGATCAAAGAAAAAAAAGAGTTGCGTGAGAGAAGAAAAGAAGGTAAGCAGTCCTTTTATTCATTTGCTCATTTTTTCGAGTGCAAAACAAACGATGAGGAGGGTTAGCATTGATATTGCCGTCGAAGAAGGTCAGCATCTATTTTGGAACTTTTTTGACAATCGCTGACGTCACACCAGCAGATGCTGGGACGGCGGGGGCGTCTCCATCTTCGCTCCCGCCGAATGAATTTTTGCCAATCCACGTTTTGGTGATCTCGGCGCAGATGACATTCACATGCTGAGAACCAAGTGAACCGACTCCTATTCAATTCTTTCGTCTTCGCTCGAGAACGACTCTGATGGAAGATTGGCCGCGCCGATCCCCTCCTCGCTTCGTCCGTACCGGTCGAGGCCCCGAAAACATTTATTCGCTCTCCGTGATGTGTTTGCGCATGTGCTCAGTCAAACTGGCCCGATGGCCGTAACTTTCTCCGCACACGGAGCAACTGAAGGGTATTCCTCCGGCGTGCGTCCTCATGTGCGTCAACACGTGCTCCTTGCGGGAGAAGGCCTTGCCGCAATCTGAGCAGCGGAAGGGTTTTTCTCCGGTGTGCTTTCTCATGTGCGTGGCCATATTTTCTTTCTGAGAGAACGTTTTGCCGCAAGTTGAGCACCGGAAGGGTTTTTCTCCCGTGTGCGTCCTCATGTGCAATTCTATGCTTCCCTTCTGCGAGAACGTTTTCCCGCAGACCGAGCAGCTGAAGGGTTTTTCTCCGGTGTGTACTCGCAAGTGTCTTAGCATCGGTCCTTTTTGAGAAAAGTCCTTGCCGCAGAACGAGCAAGTGAAGGGCTTTTCTCCCGTGTGCGTTCTCATGTGTGTGATCAAAGTTTGTTTTGTAGCAAAGTTTTTACTGCAAAGGGAGCAGGTCACACGTTTTTTACACGGCTGTGACGTTTCCTTGTCGCCGGGAGCCGTCGCCTTTCCGGAGCCTTTCCACCGTTTGCCGCCGCCGTCGCGGTCTGCGTCCCTCCCCAAAGGCTCTTCGGTCTCGTCGACGTCTGACAGTGGTCCCGAGACGCTGCCCGGTGGGCTTTGAGGATGAAGCTGGGACCACCGGAGCGGTACGTCTTCGGCATCTTCTTTTTTCACAGAGACAACGATCGGCGGCAACTCGCCAATGTCGGTCTCCTGCTCTTCCTCCTTAATGTGGGGGTGCTGTCGGCCATCCTCTTCTTTAACGCGGGGGGCCGGTGGATCCTCCTCTTCCTCTTTCACACGTGCTGGACGAGGGGGAAGTTCTTCCTGCCGACCAATCAGCCGCCGGGTGTCTTCGGGACACAAGCAACAACACCAAGGCAGTTTAGATCACCACATCCCGACCTCCTGTGAGCCAAAGCGCGTGATGTGGTCTGATCTGCTTTGAAAATACAGGATGCCGCTGGTCAAAGTGGCATTTTCCAAACAACAACAACAACAACAACAACACAGGCATGCTGCAAACAAGCAAAAGCTTCGAGCATTTGTTCGCCACTCGTCCCATCTGCCACAATATCAACAAAAAGTATGACAATAAAAAGAAAGGCGTGATATTCGTTGTTACTTTCGCTGTCTGCATCGCTCCTCGGAAGTCTTTCCATGTCGTCGCCGAATGCGATCAGGAAGCTGCAGGACACCTTGGGTGGTTCGTCTTCGTGCTCCTCACTCTCCGCAAAGACCTCAGTCTGTGTCTTCCTCTGGAGCCTCCCGATCTCCCCTGGGGTTGAGGGCTAGGTTCTTCGACGGGTTCGTGTAGGCCCCTCTCGCGCACACACACACACACACAAACAGACACACACACACACACACACACACACACACACACACACGCTCAACTCCTCAATTTCAATAAAACTACGGAAACTGCACGACCGGCCAAAAAGCAATTCGTCAAATTGTTAATCTAAATAAAATAAGTCAAGTTTTTTTTTTTTTTTACTCGATTCTTCGTCGTCTACGCACAGCTCCAACGTTAGCATTTAGCTAGCACGCGCACACGTACAACTATCACAAGCGGACTAACAGGAAAGGTCGACTCACCAAGTCAAGAACGACTCGGATGGAAGATTGGCCACGCCGAGCCCCTCCTCGCTTCGTCCGTACCGGTCGAGGCCCCGAAAACATTTATTCGCTCTCCGTGATGTGTTTGCGCATGTGCTCAGTCAAACTGGCCCGATGGCCGTAACTTTCTCCGCACACGGAGCAACTGAAGGGTATTCCTCCGGCGTGCGTCCTCATGTGCGTCAACACGTGCTCCTTGCGGGAGAAGGCCTTGCCGCAATCTGAGCAGCGGAAGGGTTTTTCTCCGGTGTGCTTTCTCATGTGCGTGGCCATATTTTCTTTCTGAGAGAACGTTTTGCCGCAAGTTGAGCACCGGAAGGGTTTTTCTCCCGTGTGCGTCCTCATGTGCAATTCTATGCTTCCCTTCTGCGAGAACGTCTTCCCGCAGACCGAGCAGCTGAAGGGTTTTTCTCCGGTGTGTACTCGCAAGTGTCTTAGCATCGGTCCTTTTTGAGAAAAGTCCTTGCCGCAGAACGAGCAAGTGAAGGGCTTTTCTCCCGTGTGCGTTCTCATGTGTGTGATCAAAGTTTGTTTTGTAGCAAAGTTTTTACTGCAAAGGGAGCAGGTCACACGTTTTTTACACGGCTGTGACGTTTCCTTGTCGCCGGGAGCCGTCGCCTTTCCGGAGCCTTTCCACTGTTTGCCGCCGCCGTCGCAGTCTGCGTCCCTCCCCAAAGGCTCTTCGGTCTCGTCGACGTCTGACAGTGGTCCCGAGACGCTGCCCGGTGGGCTTTGAGGATGAAGCTGGGACCACCGGAGCGGTACGTCTTCGGCATCTTCTTTTTTCACAGAGACAACGATCGGCGGGGACGCGGCGGAGGTGGGGCAC